AGCCGCTCGCGCTGGCGCTGCCGGCTCCCCAGGCGCTCCCCGGCAAAAGGCTTCGTGCCCCTCTTCCCTACCCTCTGTCCCAAACCTCTCCCTGCTCTTTTGCTCCCTGTGGTTTGTCTGCAGAAGCGTTTTCGTGCCAGCAGCGCCCTGATTTGCTTCGTTTGAGTCAGCGCAGGCTGTTTCAGTGCAGCCCTGGTTGCACCTCAGAGATGAGAGTTGCTTTTGCTGCCACCTCCCTGGCTCCCAGCGAGCTCCCAGCTGCAGTTTCAGCATTCTTGCCTTTTGTCTTGTTTTGTTTTTCCAGTTAGAACAGTCTGGACATTCCCAACCTTTTAATTATTTTTCCTAAAGATACAAACAGCCAAACCAAAACATCTCAGCTAAAACAAATGAACAGTTTTCCTCTTTCTGTTAAGATTTCTGCTTAGTTCACTCCTTGTGCGTGTTTTTTTCTTGGAGAGGTGCTCAGTTCCTGGACAGCAAGATATTATCAGTCTGTTCCTTCCGATCACTGGCATCTGATGATGCTAATACTAATTCTACCAGTGCTAGAATATTAACTGTAACGGTCACAATCCTCTGTTCATGATTACCTTCTCCCATCAAAAGTCTGGGCCCATTTAATTTGAGGCCGGATGCTGGGAATGAGCATTTGCTCGTGGAAGTGCCAGCTGGTTTTGCACGTTAGCACAGCCACTAACGGGATGGATTTGCTTTGCTCCATGCTTGGATTTTACTGATTCTGCTTTCCAGCAACTGCTACGTCATATTGTAGGCGTCAAAAATTCTGTTGCACCCAATGGTACCACCTTGGGATACTTTTGTTTGCAATGCCCTGGCTAATCTCCTGGCCCCTGCTGCAGAGCAGCTTCCAAGGCGGTGGGTAAGGTGAGGAATCCGTAACCATCCCGGGGTTGCTGACGTTTCTCCCTCCTCGCCGTAGCTTCGAGAAGGACGTGACGCTGCTGGGCCGGCGCCGCGAGGTGGTCGACTACTCGAACGGTACCACCTTGGGATACTTTTGTTTGCAATGCCCTGGCTAATCTCCTGGCCCCTGCTGCAGAGCAGCTTCCAAGGCGGTGGGTAAGGTGAGGAATCCGTAACCATCCCGGGGTTGCTGACGTTTCTCCCTCCTCGCCGTAGCTTCGAGAAGGACGTGACGCTGCTGGGCCGGCGCCGCGAGGTGGTCGACTACTTCCTGAGCAGCCGGGGCGGCGCGTCGGACTGCGTGTCCCGCCTGCACGCGCGCGTCATCCGCGCGCCCGGCGCCTACCAGCTCGTGGACTGCAGCCTCACGGGCGTCTACGTGAACGACACCCGCATCGGCGGTGAGCGCGGGGCCCGCAGCCTCCCGGGGACCGGTCACACGCGTGCAAGGCGGCACTTACATTGGCATGAGACACACGTCCCCTAATGTCCTGAGAGAGCCCCAAGATGGGACACCCTGTGAGCAGGTGGAGGTGGAAGCGTGAGGCCGAGCAGAAACCGTTTCTGCTGCTGCAGATAGGGCTGCTGCGTCACCCTGCAGGGCTCTGTGCTGCACATTAATGAGGCAGCTGCAGGAACAGCTCGTTAGGGAGATGACGAGGGTCGTATCGATACAGTTATTGAACACAAAGGGGGGTAAATTCTATGATTCTATGATTCTAAAGGCCGTTGGGAGCTATGAGGAGAATCTTGTGCTGCTCGAGCTCTCTTGGCTTTCAAGTGAATATCCCGAGTTTATTGAGGATTTCCTCAGAAAAGGCACCGTGCCCTGAGAGTATTGCTGGTTGTTCCAGCCCTGAAAAGCATAGAAGGACATGGGAAAATACCAGGAAGGTTCAGAAAGGATGGTCTGAAATTCAGGACAGGTTTTCATACAGGGAGAACAGACAGAGCGGAGCTCTCAGCTGGGAAAAGAGGCGACTGGGCCGATGCTTCAGGCCCACAAGGCCCTGAGCAGGGTGAAGGTCAAGAGCAGCGGCTGGTTTGTTGCAGTGGGAGGGCAGCTTCCCTGCACAGTCTGGCGGGGGGTTGATGTGTGGGTTGTTACTTTACTCAAGGCAGATGTTTATAGCAAACCAAATACCTCTTCTGGAGATTTCACGATTGCATTTTGGAATATAAACTTGAAAGCCAAGAACTCATAAGTATGTTCTGAGAAAAACGAGGCAAATTCAAAGAGAATTTTCTGCCTGCTGTCTGAACAGTGTGTCCCAGCTGCCACCAGAGGAGCAGGATGTCCCTGTGACATGCAGCAGTCTGCCCTCACACTGCTTCCTTGGCCCATCCTGTTGAGTGCTGGAGCTGGGACGCTTGGTGTGTCCTTGCTGTCACAGCAGCTCTGTGTTTTCTTCTTCCCCAACCTGCAAATTTCAGTCCTCGCAATTATAAGAATGCAGAACTTGTGCCTGTTATGAGCTGTAACGGAAGGCTTATAAACCCACAGGTAAAGTCGTCCTGCAGAAAGGGGATACTGTTGTATTTGGGCATCCCACGGAAAGACACCTCAAGCCCGGAACGTGGGTTCGGCAGCCCAACTCGCAGCTCTGCTTCCTGGTACGTCCCGTTTCTTCCCAATGTGCTGCAGAAACTGCCAAACGTGGCTGCGGGGCGAAACGCCGTCCTGCTGCCCTCGGTGCCGGGCCGCAGGCCGTGCGCTCGGTCCCGTCTGCTGCCGTCATCATCCTGAGCTCCCGGCAGCACCAGGGCTGTGCTGCCTGGCTCCTTCCATACGTCACCTGGTGTTTGGGGGCTCCCAGAAAGAATTCCACTGTGACAGGGTCTAAGTGCCTCTTGCTGTCACCAGGAGTGCAGATGAGAGCTTTAAACTGCTGCTAACACGACTGTGATTCCTCTGTAGACGCTTAGGTATTTGTTTGTGCTATAAATATGAGGAATGAGCCACTTTGAAAGACAGCAAAGCAAGACTCCAATTAACTTTTAAATTGGAGGGCTGGGGAGTTTGATTGTTTTTCTGCCTAAAAACTGAAATGGTTTTATTTCAACGTGGCCTTTTCTGCCATAAATTAGGCAATCTTGTTGAATCTGGATGCTGAATTTGAATGCGGAGGGTTGTGAGCTGCATTTCTCGTGCTTATCTTTCAGTTTGAACACTGCTGCTGCGGGGCTGACCGTGATGAGACGAGGAGTTCCGTTCCGCAGGTGTGTGGGTTTGGTTTAGTCTTCACTAACGATATCTGGGTAGTTCATTATTTGGAAATCACTTCACAGCTGGGGAATGTACACATGAGCATAATATGGTTTGTTATAGAGGCAGAGCGCCTCTGACTTATCAGTCAGTTTTGGCTCTTCTGAGATCAGCCTGCTGTTTTATTGCTTTTTATGCAATATGTGCTTTTTAGAGATGTTGTCAACAACACCAGAGAGCAGGAACCATGTTTTTCTGAACGCGGTATGGAGACAATATTAGGAATGAGAGTAGCTCTTTGTTCTCCATTTTGATTTTAACAGTATATAAATTAAACTTGCTCCCTTTGACGC